TGCAGAGTTGAGAAAAATACTAAGGTAGGCTCGCACACCAACATTTTCAAACTGGAGTGGGAGAAGCTATTCCAAATTCTGCTTAGGCATTCTCTTAATATACAGAGTACTGAGGAAATGCAACATTTCTAAAATGGTACAGTCTATCAAATAAGACAAAAATAGAAGTTATAAACATGGTTCGAGGTGACATAGTGTAAGTTTGCATTCATCATAAAAGAAATAACACTCAAATGTGATAAGAAAAAGCTACACTCTAAAGTGTCCTTTCAAAGACAGCAACACCAGGGTCCTAGGCAGGAGCCAAGGGCAGCCCCTCCACCTGGAAGCAGGCAAATTAGTGCACCAAAAACACCACTTCCCAGCAAGTGGCCTACCACAGCCACAACCACAACCACTGCCACTGCCATGGCTGCTGCAAAAGCGGCTTGACGCCACAGCAGTAGCCACAGCCACTTGACTGCATTGACACAGAGTCACCAGCAGATACCAGAAAAAGAGGACGTCTCTTTCCTCAAAGCCCAATCCAGAGTAATAGAAGAAGCAACTGTTCTATCAGATGACCAGACATCAACACAGACTACTAGAAATACGAAAACCCAAGAAAATATGACACAAAAAGAATACAGTAATTATCAAATACCAGACCCTATAAAGCAGGCAACCCTTGAAATGAATGAAAAGGAATTTTGAGTAACAATCTTAAAGAACCTCACTGAGATATGAGAAGACTCAGACAACATAATGAAATGAGAAAAAAAAAATCCAGATTACAAAGGAGACAATTTACAGACATTAATACCTTAAATAAGAATGTAGCAGAACTCATGGAACTGAAAGATTCACTCAACAAAATAAAAAATACAACTGAGAGCTTAAGTAGCAGGCTAAAACAAGCAGAAGAAAGAATTTCTGATCTTAAAAATAGTCTTTTTGAAATAATTCAGGCAGACAAAAAAGGAAAATAAATTTTTTTAAATGAAGAAAATCTAAGAGAGCTAGCAGACAACTTGAAACTTACAAACATTCAAATTATAGGTGTTCCAGAGGGGAGGAGAAAGGAAAAGGCATGGAAAACCTATTCAATGAAATAATAATGGAAACTTCCCAGGTAAAGGGAGAGACATGGATCTTCAGATCCAGGAGGCTCAAAGATTCCCAAATAGATTCAACTCAAAAAGATCCTCTTCAAGACACTTTATAGGGAAACTGACAAAGCTCAAAGACAAAGAGAATCTTAAAAGAAGCAAGAGAAAAGCATCAAGTCACCTGTAAGGGAACCCCTAGCTGACTTCTCAACAGAAACTCTACAGGCTAGAAGAAAATGGGATGATATATTCAAAATACTAAAAGAAAAAACTGCCAGCCAAGAATACTATACCCAGCAAGACTATCCTTCAGAAATGAGAGAAAAATTGTTTACTTTCCAGATAAACAAAAACTGCAGGAGTTCACCTCCACACAACCAGTCCTACAAGAAATCCTCAAGGAAGTCCTGAATCCAGAATCCAAAAAAGGATAATCACTATCACGATTACACAAGAAAGAACAAAACTCACTGGTAGAATAAAAATGCAAATGAGAAAGAGAAAGAAACTGAATCTTACCACCACAAAAATCCATAATGACAATGTAATGAAGCCCTTGCTTTATTTCTGATCTTAGTAATTTCAGTCTTCTTTTTTTCTTGGTCAGTCTAGATAACGGCTTGCAAATTTTGTTGATCTTTTTAAAGAATCAACTTCTGGTCTTGTTGACTTTCAAGAGAAAAGTTGCTTTTTAATTCTCTATTTTATATATTTCTGTTGTAATCTTTGTGATTTCCTACTTATATTTGCTTTTGGTTTAGTTTTCTCTTTCTGTTTTCTTAAGGTAGAAGTTCACTTTACTGATTTGAGATTTTTCTTATTTTTAATATAGGTGTTTACAAGTATAAATCTCCCTCTAAGCATTGCATGAGCCCTGCATCCTATCAATTTTGATATGTTGTACTTTGATTTTCATTTCAAAGTACTCTCTAATTTCCCTGTGATTTTTCTTTTTACCTATTGTTTATTTAGGAGAGTGTTGTTTAATTTCCACACATTTGTGTATTTTCTAAATTTCCCCTGTTATTGTGGTCAGAGAACATATTCTCTACGATCTTAATCTTTTTAAATATATTAAAACTTGTTCTGTGGCCAAAAAAAAAAAAGACAATGTTAAAGCTGCAAATATCACAGAGCTATTGTATGTACCGTATATTTTTCTTCTGCACTCAATAAATTTTATTTTGAGTCTGGTAAAAAATAAAAATTTTAAAAAATGTACTTTCACCAAAACTATGTTTATTAGATCTTCCACATCTAAGACTAAGATAATATGGGTAAGTACTACTTCTTAAGATGAAATAATAGGGTAACAGACACACATCAGTGAAATACTTCATCTAAACAGAACAAGTAAAACACCTCTCTAGAACCCACAATAAAAAACTGGTGATGCGCAATGAATTACAAAATGAATGTAGAATGTATTCATCTTTTAGGCAAAGCAAGAAAGAGAATGGGGAGAAAAACTAAAAAAAACTTCATCTTGTAAATGAAACAATTTCTTTTCAAGGAAATGGCAGAAGTCAAAAAAGAAAATCATAAGTTAGGGCACTCTTCTGAAGAACTGTAAATTTAATAAAAGTATAACCAAAACCCATAATATGCAATTTGAGCCAGATGGCAAAGAAGAAACAGAACAAGTCTCTCTCTCAAAATCAAATAAATGCCTAATGAAAAATAAGCTGCTACCATCTCCATCACAAAAGGAGAAGGTGAGGTGAAAAGTTTTTTTTTTATTTTGAAAACAAAATTTTATGTTTTACCTAATATTGTAGCTTCTTACAAGGAAAGAAAATAGTTATCCCCCATCTCTAGCATATTTGTGCTTGGTTTTCAAAAATGTGTATGAGTTATGTTAGATTAAGAGCCAGGAAGAGTTAGTTATAGAAACAAGAATATTTACTCAAATTTTTCTTATCTTTATTCAACAAACTAAGAAGCCAGTCAGACTGGGTTCATATTTTGGCTTTGCCAACTTGCTAGCTGTATGACCTGGTCAAGTCACTCATTCTGTCTCTGGGATTCCTTTCTTTATTCAACAAACTAAGAAGCCAGTCAGACTGGGTTCATATTTTGGCTTTGCCAACTTGATAGCTGTATGACCTGGTCAAGTCACTCATTCTGTCTCTGGGATTCCTTCTCTATAAAAAGATAATAAACTACCTTACCTCATTGGTTTAGGATTAAATGATTTAACATGTGTTATGGTACATACACTGTACGTACTACATAAATATAGTTGGCCAACATTTTCATTCTAGCACTCGTGATTTTTTTAGTTTTACCCCTCAAGGTTAAGGTTAAGGGAGTCATTGATAGATATCACTGGTCTCTAATGAAAACTCCAAAAAATCACTAGCTTAAATATAAATCACTAACACCCGAGAAAGTTTTATTTTCCCCAATTTCAGAAGTAGATAGGAAAAAGTTTAGGCCTTCTTATCTAGAAGTCTTTAGAAGCCCCTAGTGACTATTTCTTGACTCTCAGTCTATATCCTTAATGTTGTAAGACTCTATTAATACTGGTACATAAAAGGTTCGTCTGCCTCCCCTCCCATACCTTTACCAAATGTGTTGCCCTTCAATTTTGTGCCCTCTACTCACACTTATGTCATGCAGAGCATGACGAAAAACAAAATGCAAAAAACAAAGGTCAAAAACTTGATCTTCAAGCTACAATTTCTTGTTCTGCCAAGAGTAACAGGCGAGGAATACCTTAAAAACTGCCTGACCTGTTTTCAAAGTGGCAGGGAAAATTCACATAAACAATCAAGACTAGCTGCCAGCCTTTCTCACCTCATTCTATAACCTAGGTTTCCAGAAAAGAGAACAAAAGAAAATATTTCAAATTAGAACACAAACCATTCATAATTTAGCTATCTCTTAAAATTTTTTTGACTTCAAAAAATAGGAAATATTAAAAGTTTCGGCTATACTACATTCCAGCAAAATTATTATTACTACTTTTTAAAATAATTTTTCCATATGTGCAAACTTTAGGTTCAAAACTGGAATTCCCTTTGCCAAAACCCTTAATCCATTTGAAATAGCTGTCTCTATGCTGAATAGCAATGATGTTCTTTAGAAGATTTGCAAAAACTCTGATTAGGATCTGATACTATTCAAAGGGGATAATAACACTTTAGTACATTATCCATATTTTTGACAGTTAATAAGAATGACTTTGACCCTATTATACAGTTGTTTCTACAATGTTTTCATATATAAGGATTACCTTTATACATCTGAAGATTTAAACTCATATGAATATAAAATGAGATCATGTATCAGTTGCTAGAAGGCAAGAAATTTGTCTTTAGCGCTTGTTTCACATTACAAATAGCAAGGTTCTTGAACATTTAATTATATAATATTCATACATACCATTTGGTGATATGTATATAAATGTTTATATATAAACATTCTCATACATATTTATGTGACTAATAAATATATACAAACATATGCAAAATATTCCAATGTTCTCCAATTAGAGTTTTTATAAGTCACCAAGGCACTTTTATTATTCTCAAAATTGTAAACATAAGTTAGGAAAGGCTCATTAGTATTTTCCATAAGGACACTGAGTAACTAACAGCACACCTAATCTTCTTCATTAAGTAACAGAGCACTGTTTTACCATTCCTCCTGTGCTTTCAAACAATGGGGACCTTCCCCCAGTGATCCACAACCTGCTTCAAGTAATCATTCCTGACCTCAAGGCCCCAGGAACAGGAGAGGAAAGGGAAAGAGGGAGGTAAAAGACACCAAAGCTCAATCACATGCTGTATTTAAATGTTTTAAAACAATATTATATACTGTGAGACAATGAACATAAAAGGCAAGTGACTCTTCTGACACCTTGCCGATCCATTAAATACAAAAAAAGGTAAGAATAAAGATGCTTACCTGTTGTTCCTGAATTCTAGCAGCACCAAGTTCTGAGAGAGACATGGTGAGCTTCTCCTGCTGTTCTGATAGATATTTCTGATAGAGGCTTAGAAGTTCTTGGCATTCTCTATATTGGAGCTGAAGAGGTGAGATTGCAAGTTAAGGGAAAAAAGCAACTTAAAAAATTGATTCAAACTGCATCCATCAGTGCTGCTTTTCAGATTCCAATAAACAAAACAGACAGAAATGGAATGATATTTGATGAAAGAGTAGGTGAGTATAAATTCCTCAGACGAAAACAGTATATGTATCCCACCAAAAATCATGAAACAATAATTCACAAAGACAGTAGCAATGGTCATCCTATTTGAAGAGAAATTTCTCTCTCAATTCTTTAAATTTGAATAAATAAAAATAAATGCAGATACATGTAAAGGAATCTCACACCATATTAAGCCTGAAAATGGATCGTTGATCTAAATGTAAGAATTAAAACTATAAAAGTCTTAGAAGGAATCATAAAAGTACATTTTTATGGCTGTGGGCTAGGTGATGACTGCTTAAAAGCACAAGCAACTCAAGAAAAAATAGATAAATTCAATTTCAAGATTAAAAATTTTTGTGCTGCAAAGGCCACCATTTAATTGAAAAGACAACTCCCAGAATGAGAGCAAATATTTGGATATCATATATATATATAT